CGGGGACCGCCGGGAATCGAACCCGAGATCCCAGGATTACAAGGCCAGCGTTGTAACCGCTAGACCACCGTGGCTCAGAATGAGGATATAAGGACACAAATAAATCATTGGGCGATATTGTGAACATATATTCCAGGATACACTCGGCGAGAACAGCTTATGACTACAGTCAGAACCCAAAAAAAGTACGTAACAAATCGTCCAATGTAAAGTCATGAAACAGCCACTGCAGTAAATTATATTTTTATGTTTATTACTGTTATTATTATTATTATTATCTAAAATAAAAGCAGGTTGTAAATATTAAGCTTTGTCCTACAAACTAACATTTTGTAAAAGTCAAGTGAGGCAAAACTTACTAGTTAATTTGCGTTTCCCTGTGGTTCAGTAAATCTTTCACTTCCAACGAAATACATATTCCATTGTATTTATATGTTTTATGGCTTTGTTTGGGCGTAGTTCAGAAAATAAAACTGATACTATGTTATATACGTATTTTAAAATATTTCCGCCGCAACACATTCATCTGTAGTTGCAATGAAATCACTGTACACAGGAAGAGGTTAAAGAAATCGATCAAATATCTGTATATGAGTTGACTTAGTTTTAACTCTGCTGCAATTTAATTTAAATGCGAATTTTCTATCGAATTAAATATTATCATGTCCAACTATTAATAACATTATACTGTAAACAGCCGTAATTAGAATGTATCTACAGAAGCAGAAGTTTACCTGCTTCCTCCCACGACTACCGTAGAAGAAGAAATAAAATACTGCAATCGGTAGAAGGTAAAAATCACAATGACTGATTTCGAGTAAGGAGTTTGTTTTATGTTTAATTAACGGAATCTCCTACAGATGTCTCCCTTTTACGGGAAATTGAAATAGCGTGACTTAGAGCACGCAAGACTTCAAGGCAGAAACACTTCATCAATGAAGCAGTTTTTAACTCCCGGAGAGCGATAGCCAAGGATGAAACTGACTAAAATGTATATTTCTACAACATTGGTTCATAAAACACCTAAGCAAACAGTTAAATTTGTGTAATCCATACTGTTGCCTTACAAAATTATCACAAGAAAAATTATATGAGCCCTAAGAGGGAGAAAAGGGAGAACAGAAACAATTACTTGCAATGTGTTACATTAAAAAGGGCACTTGAATTATTCACTCAAGTCTTGCAAACCACAGGTTGTAAATAAGGGAGAAAGAATGAGATTTGATATTCCCATGATAGCAAAGATGTCCACGTTGGGTTTCTAAGCTGTAACACAATGTGGACTTGTATTCAGTCCTGCAGATGGAGAAAGTATATTTTCTCTAAACGTTAGTATCAATAAACACTGAGTAACCAGAACAACTTGGACGAAGGACAAAGTGTTTCTGTTTTAAACACATTTATCGCAGGCTGCAAAGTTCCTCAATGTTTCCAAGAAAGTCGTATTTCTAAGGGGTGAGGCGGAGGGAACTCAGAACCTGATACAATGTAATTTAAATTGTAATCGTTCTTAGTTTAAATTTAAAGTCCATAAATATCTAAACATTAAATTGTATTACCCGCTCCTGAAGAATAGATGGCAGTTTGCAACCATCTTTGTGTATGACGTAACTTTGCCAGCCAATAGAATTGAGTTGGAAGGAATCCCAAACAGGGGCGAAGTCATTGGAACATAGAAACTTCTCGATTAGAGATAGAAAGAAAAATAAGGAATTACCAGTTTTATTTTAGCAGGCATTTACGAGAGAAATAAGTCTGAAATAATGTCTACGAAACTAGAAGAGGTAAGCAATTCCTTGTAAAGTAATTCCTGAAATAATAACATGTCTAACCTTAAAATTTAGAATGCAGTGTTCGGTAGCGGGAAAGTACAAAGGAAATTGAGAGTATTGCCTAAGATAGCAGTTTGTTCATAGTATTCGACCTTGAATAATTACTTTTTATACTAAGTCATGTGTATGTCAAACTTACCCAATATGGTTAGTGTTTTACTGTGAAGGGGGTATGGAGAAAGTACATGCATCTGCTATCTCACCCTTACTCTATAGAAGAATTTACCTCAACCAGAAGTTCTCAGCTATTACAAATACATGTAAGCAACAATGGTTGTGCTTTGTTGTGTAATTATTTTAATAGTTTGAGGAGAGCACTGTTACTATAAGCGTAGGGACATAGAAAGTGTTCGATGTCCACCGACCTGACATCATCCTTGCCACTAATGTCTAAAAAAATGTTATTGCCCATTGTTCTATTGTCTACTTTAATTTTACCTTCACATTTTCATGGTACTAGACATCAAAAGGGCCGGAAATTAATGACCTAATCAGATACTTCTTATCTTAAAACTAACTCACTTTATCAATCCATAGCTCAGTACTATGGAAATTCTGTAACCACCCTGCCATCTGCCTGTCTATTGCATGCAGTAGATACTAATGCCAGATACTAATGCCATATGTAAGGGGAAATTATCACATGCACATGTTGTCATGAACAAAACTCGTAAAATGTGGCTTGTATATGTCACCTTGTAATTAATGTTTTAAAACACTTTAATTTCTTTACAGCTCAGGCTGGATGTTGCAGAATTAAACCGATTTCTCAGTGCAGCAGTGCGGCAGAAAGTGAAAGATGCCCTTTCAGTTGAAATTCGCAAACTTGAAACTGAAATCACAACATTGAAAGAGTTTTCTGAGAAAGATTCGGTTCCTGAAACACCTGTCAGTCCAGTTACAACATCCAAGCTGAAGTGTTATGAAGTGAAGCTTAATAACTATGGTAAAAAATATGAATTTATAGTATGAACAGTTCTTGATAGCCTGTGCCTCACTGTTATGTACAGCATAGTTATTAGAAGTTGTGATTAACTCATTGCCTTGTAGTTTATTTGCTGCTGTTATGTTAGATTCTACATGAAATGGGGCACATTGTGTAACTTGGGCTGTCATGAATTCAGGCTACCCCTTCCCCTTATTAGTGAAGTTTTACTACACAGATGACTGTACTGTACTGAAGACCCAGATAATGTAAAATAATAGGTACTCTTTAAAATTATTCAAACCTGATTCTGGAATTAACTATGCCACAGTATACCCTGGAAGGGTACATGAACTGTTCTTTAAAGGCCTTGTGTGCCATGTGGCATCCTCTACTGACTTGTACTTTTAGTAAGTAAATTACTTGATTTAACTGGATTGTGAACACCCGCAAGCCTGATATGGTAAAGGTTACTATCGGTGTACAGCTGGTCTTGTAAAATGTGGTATAGTGATAGCGTATAAGCTTATTTTTTATACTTTTTTTTTGTATTGCCTGAAAACATTGCATGGCATATTAAAAGTATGAAATGTCAAGTCCAATGAAAAGAAAGAAACTACGTGCTTATAAGTTTAACATTTATAATTTTATTTTATTCATACATTTTCTCCATTCTTTTTTCAGCATGGGATCAGTCTGACAAATTTGTTAAAATATTTGTTGCTTTAAAAAATGTACAAACAGTGGAAGCAGCTAATGTGTTCTGTGAATTCACCAACAGGTTAGTATTTTTCTTTAGTACTTCATTAATGTGTAGTTTTAATGGTGTATGTACTCCTTGTTGATTATGGTTTTTTATTTATTCCAGGTCTGTGGAACTGAAGGTGAATGGTTTGGATAATCGAAATTATACTCTGCCTGTAAAGAATCTACTGGAAGAAATAGATGCAGATAAAAGCCACTGGAAAGTGAAAACAGGTAGAATTTGTGTTCATTGTAATTTGTCTCAAGTCTTTGTCAGACATTACATTTTCATGTATGCCTGCATTCAAAATTATGTGATTTCCAGATAATGTTGTCATATTTCTCGCAAAGAAGAAAGATGGAATCAAATGGTCACACATGACAACACATGAGAAGAAAGCTAATGAGCCACGGTTACCTAAACTCGATCAGAATGACGATCCATCTGCTGGACTTATGGATATGATGAGGCAGATGTATGAAGACGGAGATGACGATATGAAAAGAACCATCGCAAAAGCTTGGACTGAGAGCCGCGAAAAGCAAATGAATTTCTAATTTGAGCTTTATGTCTTAACATTTGTACAACAATTAAGAACCTCCAAAGAACATGAGAATAGCCGGAATAAAATCATTCAAGTTTTCATATAAATACCATTCCTATAACTTATGTTTGGAAGTCAGCATTTTTAAAGTAGGTTGTGGCTTGGAGTAGTAATGTTTATAATTTAATAGTTGCACATTTCACATTTTTTCATTCAGACTTCAGTTTAATTTCCTGGATGTATATTTGTAGCAAGTGCATACCATGTAAAATGATACATTGTAAAACCCACTTGAATAAATAAATATATCTTCTCTGTGAAAAATTATAAGTATTCTGTAATGTATATTAAACATTTTACTCTCCTCCTTGCACTATATTTCTATTTTAGATCCCATGTGAATGGCCATAATGTCCTACTGAGGTAGGTTTTTAAGTTGAAAAAGTTCAACTATTACTTTATTTAGAACAGTGGTCCCCAACCTTTTTATGCCTATGGGCACATTTGAGAGTTTATGAGATCATGGTGGGCACCAACCAATTAACAAAGCCAAATTTTCTTTTCTCTGGACAAATAAGATATGGACACCAAATAATACACAAAACAACACTACGTTTAATGATACAAGAAACCATGCAATCAAAAATATGTACTTTCAAAAGTACAATTAGTATTACTGAAGTGGGAAGTTAGTGTGATGTTTGGCACTGCATTTCATCGGCCAGTTTTTCAAATTTGGGAGTGCAGGATGATATCGCTGCTCGGAAACAATCGTCAAGATGGGCATTAGTAAGTCGAGATCTGAGCTTCAATTTTATAATGTGGTTGAACAGCCTTCATTATTCAGTATAACCTCTTTCCGTAACAATGCGGGAACCCAAAAAAAGCCTTGGCGGGCTCCCGCGGGCACTGCGTTGGGGACCACTGATTTAGAATATGCATAGCTGACCAGGAATTCATTAAGTGATAGGCATGGTCAGGAAATTTTTCCTGCTTTGCATTTGTATTTGCTACAGTAGGAAGTGAAGTTGGTTGGGTTTAGGTTTTGATGATGGTACATGGCTCATCACCCTCATGATGGAGGCAGCAGGGACATCTGAAATGTTGGTTAACTAATAGACTATACAGTGCAACAACCCAGAAGATGGCCATCTTTGTTCAGATGGTTGTTTATGTATATTTTATGTATGTAATTTAAGTAAGATACATGTCTATCAGTATGGGGATGCTATGATTAGCATGCAGACAATTATTACAATAAAAATTGTGAGTACTGCTAACATTTCATACAGAAATGGAAGAGTTAACTTCTGAAGCCAATGCTTGTCTAAATAATATTAAAAATCTGACACTTCCACAAGAAAAGAGATTTCTACTAGCCCCATTAATACACATTTCAGGCAGAATGGTAACTTATGAAAACTTAATCAGGTGAGGTTTGAGGTTATTGCAGTGACAAGTATGGTGATGGCTGTCTTCTGGGATGTAGGACTGTGTAGTCTGGTAGATACTGATTTTTCAGAGGAGCTTACCGTTTCCATCATCATGGTGATGCTCCTTTGAAACGGTCAATATCTACCAGACTATACAGTGTAATATTCTGAGAAGACGGTAATCTTAAAGCAGATGGTTTATGTCCTTACCATTGAGCTTTACGGGGTTAAATCTGCATATTGTATCTGCTGCAAGCTATACTTCAACTCAGGGTTTAATGGTTTAGTTGCATAATACTGCAATGCACAGGACAGCTGGACTGCCATAACGAATGGCTGATAAATGTTGCGGACAATGGTACACAGTAGCAGGTTTTATAATCCTGGAAGGAATAACATAAACATGATAATATTTACAGCTTAGATTTAATGTTCAGGAGGTCTCGACTGATAAGAGGGCTGTTCAGCTGGGGTTGCTACACTGTCTGGGGTCTGGTCATAACCTTTAATATATAGTTTTACTGCAATTAAGCTGTCTTGGGTGATAATCTGTATAGGTATGGGGTCACAATCCATTGTTTTAGAGACTGCCTCCATCACTAAATAGGTTTGACAAGTGGTACAAGCAAGGACATGGGGCACCAAGAGCCAGTTGTGCCACTTGTCACATCTACCCTGATGACTAAACAATCTCCAAAACATTGGATTGAAAATCCATACACACACCTTATCGCCCAAATGACTTCAGTGCTGTTAAATGATATATTAAATATATTTCTGCAAAACAAACATCACACAAAATTTCTTGTAACTGTCATTTTTAATGTACGTTGTCAAACACTGCCAGTAATATACATTACCTGTTTAAACTGCAGTAAAATTTTTAATATATCTCATAAACAGTGTAGTTCACATAAAATATTTTATATTTCTATAGAACTGTGTGCTATAACATACAAAATAAATTGTAACAGTCACATGAATTCACTTATCAAACAGATACTCTTAAGAATACAGTGTTAAGAGTTCCAGGTTAAAGTTACATTAAAGCATTTAGAAGTCAATAACACATATCAGAATAATCCCAAATTACCCTGAATGATACTGTTGATAAATGCAATTAAATAAAAGGAATTAAATCCAAACCCTTAATGTTCAGTATGGCACTTTATTAAGGATCAGTACAGCTATGCAAATTAAAACTTCAGCTCATTTTAAATCTTTCTTATTCATCAATGAAATGTGTTTTCTTCCATATAAGTATATTCTTAATGTAAGTAGATGGGGAAATCAATATTAAATTAAATTTTGAATAACAGGGCTATGATATTTAAATATTTAATGACAAGTCATACAAGACATTAACAAATAACCATTCAGACTCTATCAAGAAATTAATATTCAAACTCCATGGAGCAGAATTCATAAGAAGTTAATAGTTGCACAGTTTTTAAAAAATTCCACGCCATTCACTAATCCTTTCCCTAAGTATTCTTGTATTTAAAAATAATATTAATTCAAAAAATGTTTGAACTGTGAAAAATGTAAAGTACTGCAACCCACTTAAGTGAAATAAATCTAGAAGGGAAAGCTAACAGATAAATATAAAAATAGAAAATAGGTCTAAATTATATCAAATTATAACAGTAATAACATGGAATCTTACAAAGACAAACAATAGTATAATCCAAGAAACGTACATGAAATGTTTTAGAATTGGGGAGGAAAACAAGGAGGGATGCAATTACAAAATAAATTATTTCAGGATAAGCTGAAATCAAAAATTTGCTAACAAAATTACAATAGAATCAACTAGTGGTTCAACCATGCAAAGAGAAATTAAATAGAACAAGACACCAAAAGGAGCATTAGAATTAAAATGTAAAAGAAAGAGGCCTATGGGATGATAGAGAACAAGACTGTTTAACCAGGTACCAGAAGACATCAGGGTGAGAAAGATGACTGGTAAAGGACTGTAAGAAATAAAAAGGAGGGACTGTGGGATGAAAGAAGAAACTGAAACATTGTCTATTGATGGGAATGATATTTAGTAGACTGTGCTGTGAAGTATATAAAGTTGGTTGTTAAAAAACTACTTCTGATAGTTATGACTATCATTAAGTATACCAGGTTGTTAAACCTAGCTGCCACATACATGTAATTCATATTTTCAGTACCACAGAATACAAATCATAAGACACAGAAATGAAGTTTTTACAACAGCTGCATGTCATTATGCTGAGAGAAGGATACTCAGAATCGTGTCCTGTGGCAGGCTTTGGCGGTGTTGATGTTTGACCTGCGGGTTGTCACCAAAGAGTTAGTTAATTAGAGAGAAGGGTACAAATTGCTCATATAACACTTTGGTTTTGAGACCGTAACAATGCTCTGTATTTTATGTCTATATGTAGGACAATTTTTCTGCTTTCTTTCTTAATGAAAGACTATCAAACTTTCAGAGTCTCGTGTACAGGTCTGTGTGAACAAACTGGCAATTTGAAAAGTACAAACATTTTTCACATTACATTTATAAAAATTACTTTTTCAGCCAGTCCACATGAAATTGGCAATGGAGCTAAAATGTGTACAGTTGAGAATCTGTACCAAATTTCAAATCAGTAGCTATTGGAGCTCATAACATAGCTACAGCAAATGGAGTTGTGACATGATGACATTTCAACACATGGTATTACTTATCAGAGTTCAATCAATCATGAGTACCAGGTCCTTATGACATATGAAAATTAAAATGTGGTGAATATTTTACAGCAATATCACAAAATTTTTGCCTCTATTTGCAAGTCCAGTTACTCATGCCATCATCTTAAAATTCCTTGCTCTGAACCACATTTCTTGAGGCCTGTTATAAAATCTAAATAAATGTATTGAGGATTTTACTAAAAATACAGCCATTCACCTTGAATAATGTGCACAATGAACCATTTATGGCACTGCCATAATGAATATAAATAAATATAAAAGTAAAGTAAAGCTGTCCCACTATATGCCATGTAGGCGCTTGGGGGAAGTGGAGGTATAGCTCCTACTCATTCTTGACCT